AAGAAGAAGAAGAAGAAGAAGAAGAAGAAGAAGAAGAAGAAGAAGAAGAAGAAGAAGAAGAAGAAGAAGAAGAAGAAGAAGAAGAAGAAGAAGAACCATCCAAGACTCTATGCAGGGTCAGCACAACGTATCCAAGCCCAGCCAAGTTGAGCCTATCCCTCATCATGCATCTTCCAGCATCTGTCCAGGTCCTCCAAAGCTGAATTTTTTTTTTCCTGTTTTTGACAAAAGGATTCCTATCCAGTTCCTCATCAAATAGAGTTATGAATACAAACTGTGAGAGTTTGGGCTATCAATCCTTTAGCGTTTCAGCATTTCACTCTGAGAGCAGAAGTGAAGATGGTATTCACAATCTGATCCACATGCACTGGACGGAATACACAGGTACAGGGCTCTCTCTCTTCTGCCAAACACTTTTTCCCCTCTTCTTTGTGACACCAACGAGCCTTAGCTCAGTTGGTACGCCCATGAACTGTTGAAATACAGACCCAGGGTCAAATCCAGATACAATCAGATGACCAGAACAACAAAATTCTAAATTAAAAACAAAGGTAGGCTAAGAAGTTAAGGTGAATTAAGGACAGTGTGCGTGCTCCATGCTTGTCTCTGTCGAGGACCAACTGGAATTCCCTTTACTCCCATGCAAGAAGGTGGGGCATGTTTGGCAACAGTACAACATCCGTTACAGAGCCTCCCTTACAGAACTCGGAATGGACTTCCCTGCACTGCCTATCACTTTTCTGTTCTTTTTTTTTGGGGGTGGGGGGAGGGGGGGAAGGTGGGGTCTCACACATACCTTCAGGATTCTGGGCCGAGCATCTTGACATCAATAATAATGTGAAAAGAGAAACCACCAGAGGTGCACCAATGAGCTCCATCATGCCAGATCCAGGCCGTCCAGAAGCAGCACGCCTGCCCGCAAGAGTGTGTGGCGCCTTAGCATAAGCTGGCAAGGAATTTGAAGATATGAAGATGGAAATCATAGACTTGTAACGCTTCGCGCTGTGCAAAACGGAAAAAAACAATCACAGAAGAAAACAACGAGGAACGAAGGTAAACACCTTAAAATAGCTGTGATACATGCACGCAATGAGATCTGGCAAACAATCAGTCCCAGATTCACGAACAATGAATCCCAGATTCCCCACATTTGCATCATGGAAGCAGCATACAGAAAACACACTCTCGCTCTCTACTTTTTTGCTCCACATGACAATTATTATTGCTGCCCTCAGCAATGGGCATGGGTATCCCTTACTCTTATAAAGCGTAACACGGGTCTCGCGTGGGAGCGTCACACGAACTCCCACGCGAGACCCCACTGGCCTGGCTTGGGAGAGAGGTGTGCGAGGCCACTGCCTCCAGGAGCCCCATAAGGCCCATTCCGCAGTCTGTCGGCCGCCCTAAGTGAAGGCAGGCTCAACGAGGCCCTCAGGGCCCTATTCTGGCCACCACGCAACTCAGGGAAAATCAGGCAGTTGCGCAGCGCCAGTTGGTTGAGTGAACCCAGGCCCTGGGCCGCCTGTGTGAACCCAGGCCCTGCGCAGCGCCAGTTGGTTGAGTGAAGCAGGCCCTGGGCTGGATACGGGTACCGGGCCAAACACAGGCCAAAGGCAGTTGGGCGCATGCAACCACTTCAGGCCCAGGGCCTGTTTTCGTTCGTGACTGGGCCTCAGGCTACCCGGGCCTACTGGAATCTTCCTGGGACTGGACGCAAGCAGGCCACTTCGATATAGCAAAGGGCCTGCCTCCTCATTCGGCATTCGGGTGCTGGCTGCATGCTGCGCAAGCGCTGCTGCGCTATTTGCTGGCTGGCGCCTGGGCTCTCACGGGCGACCAGGGAAGGAGCACGCAGCCATAGCCGAGCTGCGCTGCCGTAAGCTGGATGAAGCGCAGGGTGGTCCTTGGGTGCTAGTGGCATCTGTGTGTTGGGGAACGAGGTTGTGAGTGTGGCGAGGGACATACCTGGTGCTGGAAGCGTGCGACATTGGTCGCCATATGCTCGTACTTCGGGAAAGCTGTTGACGTCATCTTTCGGCATTGTAGTATAGGCTAGATAGGATCTGCCACATGTAGTCTGGGCGCCGAGCGCCAGATAGGATATCAACTCTGGTTCTTTGTTGATGATGATGGGACTATTTCAGCATTGTCAATCATGAACTCTTGGTGTGTTCTTATTTGGTGAATCTCGTGATGCTTGCAATTTGTTATCGGAGCTGTGGTACGATTGCGCTCATCTGGCGCTTGTCTTCTGCCTTATGCGGTACATACATGCGGTCTGCTGGGCGAGTTTGGCCGTAAGTGGTGTGTAGTGAGGAGGGTGGAGACAACTGTAGGCGACCCAGGAGGTGAGGGGATCGCCAGGAAGGCTACGTGAGGTGAAATGTGGTCTGGACAGTGTGATGAGAACTATCTAATGAGCGATTGGTGCTGAGGTGGAACGGCGAGACAATGCTGGTTTTGCCGATGCAGTGACTGGTCATCGCGATCGCCATTTGGTCATCTGGTGAGATTATCTCTGTGGTTGGGGGCAGCTATTTGAGGTACGTTGCTCTTAACCTTATCTACCCTCTTCGACACTTCTTACCGTGAGGTTGTGTGTTCCTTCTTGAGAGTCCTCTTATTGTGAGGTGTCGAGTGCACTCAACCTTGAGAGTCGGCAATGTTCACGTGGAGCATCTGGGTGGAGATGGGCGGAGCTTTCTGAAGGGCCCTGGACGAAGCACTGGGTCACGGTCACCATGCCAACCCACAGGGAGTAGAGCACGCATGCCTTGCTGCTTGTCCTTTGTTCGGCTTGCTGCGCTGTTAGATGGGTACTGATGGGCAGGCCAGCCCTTAAGGGAGACGAGACCGGGCGTCTTTAAATAAGCACCGGAAGGGGAACCATTGGCTGTGATCGTCGTCCGACTGCGACGTAAAAGATTTCCTGGAGTCACTTGGGGGCGGATGTTAAATTGCCTCTGGATCAGCCAATGGTTGTAAGGCTCACTGCACGCGAGGATAATCTAGTGCAGGGCTGGCCAGCTCAGCAGATTACTCGGGGCACAGGGGTGGGCCGAACACACACCTTTTAGACACGCGACGCTCTCCAGATTGCTCAGGGACGCTGACGTCAAGTGATACTCAGGGGAACTAAGGGAGGGGTAGATTTCAGGTGATAAGTTCGAGGGTATTCCATGCTGTCCTATCCACACAAATGATTCTATTTTTATGTTTTTGATTAGTTAGGTGTACAACCATTGACATCTGACAGACAGCATTAGTTAGAACTGTTTATTGTTCCTGGTGCTTCTGTTTACGGACTAGTCAGACTAAAAATAGTTTCGTTTGTAGGAAGCTGGACTTACCTGTTAGAACCCGAATGTATCTGCTCCAGAATAGCCACCAATTAATTACTGGTCTGTGCAGTATGTTGCGGTAGGCATCTTGAATGACCTAGTGTAGACGGTGCACAGTGCTGTAGCATATGAGCGACAGGGAGGTCACACCACCAGACGACCGGATCTTGCGATCAGCTAGACGCCCGATAGCCCACGTGTCCCTAGGACCGGAGGGTGATAGGATCCTGTTCCGCCAACTTAGGGAGAGGCAGCAGCAGCAGAGGAGAGCTAGAGCAGCCGAGGCCAGCAGGGCTTTAGCTAGCGAGGCCGCTGCTACAGCAGCCATGGCCACTTCCGCTACGGTCACTGCTGCGCAGCACACTTCCCAGGCCAGCAGTTCAGGTATCGTCGGATCATCGGTCGCGCAGACCGTGAGTCAGTCCACTGGCGTGATGGCAAGCCAGGCAGTACTGTTGACCCCAGAGGATGTCACCATCCAGCAGGCAGCCCTGCAGGAGGCACAGCTACAGCAGGCATTAGGACAGATAAAAGCGGAGAAGGAGAAGATGATTAGAAGAAGAGCCAGGATGCAGCAGAGAGGGGCAGACATAGAGGAGTTAGAGACGATGGACCTGACGCACATGGATGATGATGTGAGGGTAGTTAGGAAGGCCCTGCTAGGAGTAATAGAGATGCAGGAGCATCAGACTACCATCCTTCGGGATATCAAACAGAGCCTAGCCGTTTTGGCAGGGCGTGCTCAGGCGGCACCATCACCACCCGGGCCTGGTGCCTGGCCCGTGGCATATCCTCCTTTTTCTGTCCCACCGGGGACAGGGGTATACCCATATGTAGCCCCATCATCGGTTGCAATCGGGCATGCCGCTGTCAGGAGGGGAATCAGTAGGGACTAGTTTACAGGTTCCTGTTCAAACAGTGTTCACCCAAACTCCATCGCAGGTTGCAGTTACCACGCATCCTGCTGTCTCGCAGCCTGTGCAGGGCACACAGCCCCAGCAGCTAACACAGCAACCTATATCACCGGGTCCACAGCCCGGAGTGGTGCAGGGACCGGCACAACCACAGTGGGTTCCAAAGACGGCCATCGCTGCTCGGAAACCCTTCACAGGGGACAAAAGAGGCGAGGACCTCGACACTTGGTTGAGGTCAGTGCCAGTCTATGTCAGGTGTAAACTTACCTTGCCGCACGAAGAAGTGCTTGTGGCTGCTTCCTACCTAGAGGGTAGTGCAGCGAGATGGTTGAGTGGTTTAGTGCAGCTCCCGAGGTATGGTCATGACTTCCGCGCTTGGGCGGCCTCCCAAAAATTGGAGGACTTCCTGAAGATGGTGGAAGAAAGGTCGCATGATCCTCAAGAGGCCCAAAGGGCCACTAACGCGATCCCGACACTGCACACGCGGCAGTTCAAGTCAGTAAGGGAAGCCACCGACGCTGTTGAGCGTTTGATCTATGTCCCAGGGGTGCGCTATGACCCCTAGGTCCTGCTTACCTCGTACTTGAGATGCTTTTCTCAGCCTCTCAGGAACCAGTTGGCAAGAGAGGCCAACATCAATATGCACAACTTTCCTTCGTTCAGCAAGATGGCCCTAGACCTTGAAGCTAAGATAGGGCATGGACAGGCACCCACTACAATGGGAGGAAGAAGACACTGCATCCTAACTGGAAGGCGAAGGGTCGCTTAATGTTTGTCGACAACGATGGTTCTACTATCGAAGTAGACGAACACTTCCGGGAAGGAGTAGGTTCAGAGGCGGGCAGCGTAGAAACTTCAGAGGGTGGAGTAGTCGCTGTCGTTGCTCAAAAAGGAAAGGCGATCAGTAGACGCCGTGGAGGTTCCCGGTCAAGGAGTCAAGTTGACCCCAATGCTCCTCCATGGGAGAAAGCGGGTCTTACTGAGGACGTGTGGAGAGATCGTTACTCACGGCAGGCCTGTATTCGTTGTGGTCAATATGGCCACAACCAATTCAAGTGCCGCAATAAGAAAGTGACAGAAAAGATCCCGCCTACGATGGGGCAGGTGTTGGGATCCTCTCATCCTGTTGGTAGCAATGTTGCCAATACTTCAGGCAGTGCTCCGGGAAACACGTTGGGCCAGTAGGAATAACAGTTGTTCCTGCTAGGGTCGAGGTGGTGGAGACACCCTCACCATCTCGAGAGATGGCCCAAGCTACTGACTCCAGTGTCGTCCCGCAAACACGTTGAGACCCATCGAGCCTCTGTTCGATGAATGTGTTTGAGTCCTTAGAGGAGTTAGAGGTGTAGTGATCTAGATCAGACCTGCTACCTTCTTGGACGGCCCTAGTCAAAACCCCTAAGGGTGAGATGTTCGTCAGCGAGGTTGTCATTGGCGGCCGCAAGGCCGGGGCCTATTATGACACTTGCTCGACTAGGAACTTTATCAGTCGCGCGTGCGTTGAGAGCCTGCGTTTACAGGGGCGAGTGCAGCGCCTGAGTTGACCTGTGGAGTCGACCTGTGCCAACAAACAGCGCATGGAAGGCAATGACTACCTCCAGGAAGTAGAGTGTTGTTTCCCCTACGCGGGAGGGGAATTGAGACATCGCGTCTCGTTCCTAGTGAGTGACGAGCTCCCAATGGATATGTTACTAGAATGTACTACCTCTCTGTGGCACAGCCCCAGTTTGACCGGGACCGAAAAGTAGTCAAACACACTTTGCCAGGTGGAGGGACCGCCAGATTACACAAGTTCAAAGCTAGTAGTCTGATTGAGACCTATGGGTGCATGTGTGGGGCCGCGTTCTACAATTATTATAAGCAAAATCAGGAGGAGGGTATGTATTTAGTCTATGTCTCTGCCGCAGGCGAGCCGGTGAAAATGCCGCCGGAGATAGAGGGAGTAGTTGCTAAGTACCCTGATCTATTTGAAGAGCCGACAGGGGTTGTAGAGAGGGAGGTCGTCCACGCGATAGAGATTATCCCAAGGTTTAGTATTCCAAAGGGTAGGATCTATCGGATGTCTCCGGGCGAGCTCGATGAGCTTCGCCGGCAACTCAAGGAACTCGTAGAGAAGGGTTGGATCCGGCCGAGTGTCTCTCCTTGTGGATCCCCAGTACTACTCGTACCTAAGAAGAAGGAGGGTTTACTTAGGATGTGCATTGACCATAGGGGCCTCAATGCCATCACTGTAAAGAACAGAGAGCCCCTACCGCGCATCGATGATCTGCTAGATAGAGTTCAAGGGTGTCGATACTTCAATAAGATAGATCTGAAGTCCGAGTACTATCAGATTGGAATCCGGCCTGAGGGTCAACACAAAACCGCCTTTCAGACCAGGTACGGTCTATACGAGTTTGTGGTGATGCCTTTCGGCCTTTGCAATGCTCCTGGCACCTTTCAGCACGCTATGAATCGGATATTCCATGACTACTTGGATAAGTTTGTCATCGTGTACCTCGATGATATACTTGTTTTTAGTAAGACTGTCGAGGAACATGTCGCACACCTGGACAAAGTCCTTAGCCTCCTACGACAGCACAAGTTCAAAATCAACGGTGAGAAGTGCGAGTTTGGCCGCACCCGTGTCTTGTACTTGGGTCATGAGATTTCCGCGGAAGGGCTGAAGCCCGATGACGCGAAGGTGGCCAGCATTCGTGATTGGCCACGTCCTCAGTCTGTGACTGAGATGAGATCTTTCTTAGGAATGACAGGCTACTATAGGACCTTCGTTAAGAACTATAGCATAGTGGCCGCTCCTTTGACTGATCTGACCCGCCTTGACACCCCATGGGAGTGGACAGACGAGTGCGAGGCTGCTTTCAGACATCTGAAGCATGCGTTGACGCACTACGAGGTCTTGAAACTTCCTGATCCTGATAAGCCGTTTATAGTCACCACGGATGCCAGCCAATATGGCATTGGCGCCATGCTCGCACAGCAGGAGGGGCCAAAGTTGACGTCTGTAGAGTACATGTCCAAGAAGATGCCCTCTCAGAAGTTGGCAAAGTCCACCTATGAGAAGGAACTCTATGCGGTGTACAAGGCTCTGACCCATTAGAGACACTATCTCCTTGGGAGGTTCTTCATCCTCAGGACTGATCATCAGACCCTGAGATGGATGAGAACTCAGCCTGTTCTCTCCGACGCCCTCAAGCGTTGGATCGAAGTCATTAAGCAATATGATCTTGGCCCTCAGTATCTGAACGGGGAGTGTGCGGATGCTTTATCGCGTAGACCTGATTTCTCAGGTGCGCTGATTACTGAGTTCAATCTGGCGGACAGTGTTACTCAGTCTTTGGTGGAAGCCTATCCCGAGGACCGGTTCATGTCTGAGATCATACGCAGACTCCAGGCGAAGGACAAGAAGACTTCTGTCGACTTTGAGTTGGTCAATGGCTTGCTGTTCCTTGAGAAGGAAGGGAATAAACGATTGTGTGTCCCAAATAGCGAGTCTTTGCGTAGTTTGTTTTTAGGTGAGTGCCATGATGCCACTGGCCATTTTGGATATAAGAAGACCACAGCCAATCTGCTGCAGCGGTTCTGGTGGCCCACGATGATGCGAGATGCCCGGCTGTACGTGGAGACTTGTCAAGTTTGTCAAAGGGACAAGCCACGTACCCAGGCTCTTCTTCGGCTTTTGAAGCCCCTTCCAATTCCGGAACGGCCTGGTGAGAGTTTGTCCATGGATTTTATGGATACTCTAATCACTAGCAAGAGTGGGATGCGTCACATCTTCGTCATCGTGGATAGATTCAGTAAGTATGTTAGGTTAGTAGCCATGTCGGAAACAGCAAAGACGGAGTATGTGATCCGAATGTTCAAAGAGAACTGGGTTAGAGACTTTGGTTTACCGAAGTCTATTGTCAGCGACAAGGATGTTCGGTTCACCAGCGAGTTGTGAAAGACCGTTGTTGCAGAGCAGGGCACTCAGTTGCAGATGACTTTTGGGAATCACCCGGAGGCCAACGGTCAGGCCCAGCAACTGAACCGCGCTGCGCAACACCTATTGACGCATTACATCAAGCCCAACCAGGTGGACTGGGATGAACTGCTAACCTTTAAGCCTAGACTGCCCCTGGACTTTCTTCTCCCTGAGAATCAATCCACTGCTGCACCAGGTACCCTAGAATTTGCTTACCGGTATGAACAAAAGATGCAGCAGGCTGTAGAACAGATGCAGAAGGCGCAGGCTGCAATGATAGAGTCTGAAAATAGACACCGCCGGCCTTCTACATTCCAGGTTGGGGATAGGGTATGGGTTAAGTCTTCAGAACTGGGACAGGAGCACGGGATCTCCCGCAGCTCATGCCCCAGTACTTTGGACCCTGGGAAGTCTTGGACATCGTTGGGACAGATCCGGATGGGCCATCTTATGTTATCCGGATCCCTGGTCATCTCCGTACTTACCCTGTCTTTCTCGCCTCCAAGCTGGCAACTTCCAAAGAGACTGATCAGTTTCCTTCTCGTCGCTCAATGCTGCCCCCAACCATGGATGGAGAAGTGGACATCGACGACATCATGGATCACAGGGAACTGCCAATTCAGGAAGGGGACGTCCTCCGAAACCGAAGCTGCAGTACCGCGTTCGGTTCAGACATCATACTGATCCCAAGGAGGACTGTTGGTTCACGAGAGAAGAACTCATGCAGACCGCTCCTCAAGTAGTAGCCCAGTACAAGAGATCTCTGCAGAAGGGAAAGCGCCCCATGATTGAAGATTGAGATTCTCAGAGGACTGTTGAAGCTAAGGAGGAGGGAATGCGAGGCCACTGCCTCTAGGAGTCCCATAAGGCCCATTCCGCAGTCTGTCGGCCACCCTAAGTGAAGGCAGGCTCGACGAGGCCCTCAGGGCCCTATTCTGGCCACCACACAACTCAGGGAAATTCAGGCAGTTGCGCAGCGCCAGTTGGTTGAGTGACCCAAGCCCTGGGCCGCCTGTGTGAATGTATGTGAAGCAAGCCCTGGGCTGGATACTGGTACCAATGTCGGGACTGGTGGGTCCTGAATGACTTCCCATCACTCGAGAGACTGGATATAGATAAATCTGGAGTAAGGAGGCAGGAGAGAGAAAAGACAAAGGATTAGGCCGCAGGAGGAAGTAATGCCCTGGGGAGAAAACCGCAGAGGATGAAACCGGCAAAGGCAAGCAAGTGAGCGCGAGAACAGGGCCACGTAGAACATAGTATGAGGCCGGGAGGGCCGTTGGAATGCAATAAGACTAAGGCCAAAGGGCCCTTGAACCAGCAAACGCAGCGCGGCAGCGACAAAAGAATGAGGAAGTCAAGACATGGATGACCCCGGGGTCGTGGGAAGCTAGAGAATGAGGGGCCAACATGGGAGACACCTACGGGAGCCTCGGAGCGGAGGCCCACGACCAAAGAAATCGGCGCGCACAATGCACAAGAAAGGACAACTAAGAGGGGTCACCATGGGGCGGCAAAACGCCCAAAAGACGTGGGACACCTCGGGGAAAGGCACTCGGGGCCACGTGGGACTAAGTAAAAATAATGGCATCCGGGGCGAAAATGTGTCGGGGACCACCCGTAGGACTAAGTGTCAGGGACCACCGGCGGGACTAAGTGTCGGGGACCACCGGCGGGACTAATACTCCGTGATTGAAGGAGGGCTCCACCCAATGAGATAATTCCACAACAGCAAGTAAAATACTGAAAATCTTCTATCCAGTGGGCCTAATGCCGACCCCACCCTCTTTGAGTGTGGCCACACCTCCAACCGATTGAAAAGATTCTGGCGGGAAGCTTTCTTTGCACGGGCATGCCCAGTTAGAGGAGGGGAACAAAGATCTCCTTACTTTTTCGGGTAATACATGTAAAATACTGACCGTGGGATCACGAGTACGGCACAGCAGGATTTGGGTCACTCAACTGCCCCATAAACTCATTTCTATCCTATCTCGTTGCTAGTGGGACCTCGCCCCAGAAGCTAAATCGATGAACCAAAAAAATGCATTTTGTCGAGAACCTGCTTTGGACCGGTCCCGGGAATTGGCTAATCTAGAGCGGTACAAGCACTAGCAATGTGAGCGACAAAAAGGACAGGAAGGCAGGCCTCGTCATTGTGGCACCTTCTTTGTTTTAATGGGCCCACCAGCCTACCCCCAGCGAACCTCTACCGGGCCTGGGCAGTCTAGATTTTGGCCCAGTACTTGTCAACAAGTAAAACCTAGAGTGCCCCTGGCTGTTGGACTAGTGTGTTTGGACCACAACTACCCTGAATCGTTCCAATTGTTCAAACAATAACCAAAAAAAAATAAAAGGGCAGATTACGTTTCGCAGAGGCCCTGCCAGAGAGGCCCGCCTTTCTCCAACTGGCACGAGTATATCGGTGCATTTTCCCGTTCAGGGAAAAAAAAAAAAAAAATCGGGCCGTCTTTCGCCAGACGGGCCATCAGGATACCGACCCGGTGTCCGCAGGTTTGTTTTAGGCCTCGCTTCTTTTTTTTTTTTTTTTTTTTTTAAGCTCCAATCTATTCGTGGGGAGCAACACGTGCTGGGAACCGGGCCCCGCTTCAGGACTCGCCATATATGTGAAAAGCGGCAAGTGTATTCTTCCGTTGAAACTGGAAAGATGCCGACATAAGATTTATTAGTTAATAATCATGACACCTTACGCATGATCAGGGCGTAACGAACAAACTGTCATTTATAATATGCATATATATTGTCACAGAACTATTGACTAAGAGCATGAGCACGTGAAGTAGAAGAAGAAATAAGATGAGCAAAGACAAGAAAAATGAAAGGACGGACAGGCAAAGAGACAGACAAACCAGAATGACACTTTGTTTCATAGTATTATTATTTCTTTCAGTGTTTTACAAAAAATATTTACACTGAATCAAAGGATAAAAATAAAAAACAAAGACACATTGAAATCATTCAGTTTCTCAGTCTTCTTAACGCCTCCTCCACTGTGCCTCTAACGTACAAGGCTCGCCACGTTGATGAAGTTGAGCGCGAGCTGCCCCCATCCCCGTATGCCATAACAGCCCACTTGCACGCTGTGGGAAAGAGGCAGAGTGAAGGAAGANTGGGAAAGAGGCAGAGTGAAGGAAGAGGTGTCAAACACAAGGGAGAGAGGAGCAGAAAAGGAAAATCGATAGGCAGAGGGAGAAAAAATAAAAATAAAATAAGGGTGACACAAACATCTTCTTTCTTTTACTGCATTCTTCTTTCTTTTACTGCATTCTTCTTTCTTTCACAGTTTTGCAGTTTTGGTGAAAAGTCTACCACGTTCATTTTTCATCGCACCTGCACTTCCTTCTTCACTTTTTATTCTCATTTTCACCCTTCGGACTTTTTCTTTGCGGGTGTTAGGGTGAAGGGTACAAACAAAGTAAAACGACACAAACTTATGTTCTTCTTTTACTGCAGTCTTCACTGTTTTGCAGTTTTAGTGAAGGGTTTCCCACCTTTGCACATTCTTGTACACTCTTTTCAGCGCACYTGCACATTTTTGTCAGGGTGCAAGGTACATCTAAGTAAGACCATCACGACAGATAGGACAACTATCATAAGGATGCGGGCGATGGTAGCAGCCCTCCCGCTGATCTATTGGACGAAAACCATTCAGGTAAGCAACTTCGTCACAGCAGGAACCAGGACGGCTAGCATCGACCATACCTCTGAAGCATGCACGGCAAAGGGCATGCCGGTTGCAGGGCCATGACCATTGTGGGGCGTTCACCATCACAGTTAAGTGCACATTCGCTATAGCACCCGTAGGCACAGAAGGGACATACTGCATTTGGATGCAGAGGATGTTCACAATCCGGATACAGGTGGCATCCCTGCCGACAGCGGGCCCGAAAAATTATATGGTTGTAGTGATGTCRACAAAKTCGATGCTTTCCACAACCAAGTGTAACTGTGTCAGTGATCTCACAAAGAAGGAGGTCACAAGGTGTTAGTGCAGCATGCGGGGGAATGAAGACTAAAGCAGGCACGGTGACAAACATGGAGGTAGGCACGGAGACAGACACAAAAACGGGTATGGAGACAGACACAGAAACGGGCATGGAGACAGACACAGAAACGGGCATGGAGACAGGTGCAGAGGCAGGCACAGAGACAGGTGCAGAGGCGGGGACGGAAGTACACGAGGTACCTATAGGGTCAGTAATCTGGAAGGAGACAGACATAGAAACAGGCACAAAGACAGGTACGGAGGCAGGCACAAAGATAGGCGTCGAGGCGGGCATGGAAGTACACGAGGTACCCATAGGGTCAATGACCTGGAGTAGCTGCAGGTTAGGTAATTACGCACGAGATCACAGATGGCAGTAATAGTTTGCACCATAGCACCGCTATCCCATAATTCCCAAGAACCAGAGGCACGGACAAGAGCGGTGTAGTGGCCAGAAGTATGTAGAATATAGGCACAAGCGTGCGAACAGTGGTCCCGGTCGCCACCCGAAGGGGCACGCTGCATATCAAGCCGGCGCCTTATCAAAGCAGTCTCCAATCCCCCATGTCGAGTGTAATTACTATCCTGTGGGGGATGCAGAGTCGGGTTATCGCCATACAACTCACAAACCTGAGCATCAAGATCGAAAGCAATGGCCAAGAAATCAGAGTGAGTATATGGCTCCCGACGATAGGCTTGTAGGCAGATGTTAATAGCAGCGAGGCCACACAGATTCGGTGGAGGCCGGTCAGGTGGATTTTCTACAGAATCTCCTACAGTCCCCTTGCCAAGTTCATCCTTAGATGGTCCCTCGCCATCATCCCTCCCGTTTTGTGTTTGCCGCGTTGCAGAAAGGTCTGCAATCGAAGAGCGTTGCAGGCGTGGTAAGGATGCTTGGGGCGGCAAAAGATGGGGACGGGATGTTGGGGAGGGCCGTGGTGGGGAGAATGAACGGGTTCTTCTTCGTCCAAGAATAGAGATGGAGGAAAGGGGAGTAAGCTGAGGTTGGAAAGTAGGTCGAAGTCGGCGTCTAGGACGGCGAAGTAGGCTTTCTGCAGGGGCAGAACATGATGACGGAGTCTGTGTGGACGAAGTGGTTTGTGGATTAGGAAGAGGGGTAACGGATGGAGACAAAACCAGAGGAGGTAGGAGTGGTGAAGACAGGGGTGGTAGAGTAGTCGGAAGGTGGGTAACAGACGGCGATAAAACCATATATATACAAAGTTGCCAGGCCGAACGT